GACGCCTTCAACGCATACCGAAAATTCATCTTGTTGACCGAATTTACCACAAGGTGGGCGTAAAAGTGCGGAAGCGACAGTTTCTACCCGAAAAATCAGTCGTTCGCAGCATGGACAGGAAAAACACCCACAAGAAACATCTTGGACACTTGAAGGAGGGGAATCCGCGGGGAAAGTCGTGTCTTGGTCTCAAACCGAATGTCGAGTGCCCGAGCTCGAGCTTCACGCTCAGGACAGTGCATCGTGAAGTAGAGGATGCGCGACCAGATTGCTTCTTTGACCTCCATAGATTCCGTGTCCATAGGAATAAAGGATGGATTTATTGGTGACGGCGGGACGAGAGCCTGGGGTTCGCTGAACCCGGAGGTCAGTTGCAATAATACAGACACCAAGCTAAGAAAAGACTTACAGTGGTGCCGTTTCTTCCTCCTCCATAAATTGGAGAAGAGCAACAAAGGGCTCGGAAAGGTGCGATAAACGATTTGCCACTTCCGTGTGGGACTGTGCCACCTCAATCAAGCGAATTGGACAGTCGGCGAGCAGTGAGTAGGCCCACAATGCACTCTGCAGATTGGGCACACGAATCACTTCCAGTCGGGCGGCATGACCAAGCGCTGTGAGAAGGGGGTCGCCGAAGATATCCGTTTGGGACGGCGGAAAGAGGTAATCCAGCTTTGTCTAGCGAAAGTCAGCCAACGTCATCGATATAGGCGTTGCCACCCACCAAATGGTCCCAGGCGTCGTGGACTATAGCTTCGAGGGTATCAACAAGCTGAAAACACGCCTTGTTCGAGCGGCGAGCCTTGTTTGGCCGGACAATGAGGCGAGACGGGCTAATGAGCCGAAGGCCCTTGCAAAGTCCATCTGTCGTGTCTGGCGAGGCGATATCGAGGGAGAGAAAGAGGTCGGTAACGTTGGGCGAGAGCTTAAGAACGGTGTACATGGCAGGCCCATATCCGCCCTCGACACGCAATTTCTTGATGAAGCGGCCAAAAATGCTGTTCTTGCTCAGCACGATCGACAAGGCCTTTGCCTGAGCTTTGGAGCGGAGGATGACGATGCGGTAGAGAAGGGGAGTGCCCACGCGGAGCCAAGATTTGCAGACGACAAGGTAAGCAGATGTCGACTCGTCAAAACGAGCAAAGGCTGTGGTGGATGGGTTGGCAAACGCGTCGTCAGAGACGCATAAGGCGGGGGAGAGGATTTGCGAAACGATTTCATCAGGGAGATGTGGTGCCACCTGCATTGCAGTCGCGAAAGGTAACAGGTTGTCGTGGTCTATGGAAAGGGGAGGTGGAGGTGGAGTCACGGTCTGGTGACAGTCTTCAAGTCCAAGCGAAGCAGAAAGTCGACAGAGTAAACAAGGTATATTTCGACTCGGACTCTGACAACATAAATTCAGTTATAAAGTACAGTAACTGCAAAAAGTTGTCAATATGCAGCCGGAATAGAAGCAAAGCAGACGGGCCAAGCATCCCACAAGACTGCCTCTCCCCATAGCCCAATGGATAAGGACCATATACCATCTGTACCGCTGCTACTCGTAACAAGATGAGCCCTGCTTTGAGGTCAGCGAATGTCAGTTCTGCTGTAGATTATGCATACGCACTCGTGCCGTCCCACCAATGCTTTCCCATCACTCTGCTCCCTCGCCTCGCTCTTCCGCCCGATCCTCTCGACCCGATGCTTAGGCGGACCTCCCCATACTGCAGCGTGCGCGTTTGTTGACAGGGACGAAGTGGGAAGAGGAAAGAGGCGCCACGTCAGCATGATTGATGTCACCGACCCGCTGTGATCCGATGCACCGCCTCCGCCTTCTTTTCCTTCTCCCACTTCCCCGCCTCAGACGACGCGATAGTTGCGCGAGCAAGAGTCGACATGCGAGATCAGAGATGATGGTGGGCATGAAGCTGAGGGGCCTGAACGAATCACTAGCGCTGGAAGGGTCTTAGGTGCGTCTTCATGCTTTAAATTTCTCGACAGCTTCCCTCCTAACCACCATAGCAGGGCGTAGGCCGCGTAGCAGTACTTACCTATCAATAGTATGCCTAGTATCCTCACACACACTCTCTCTTCCTGGAACTGGTTTTCATCACCTCACGTTGGCAAGTTATTTCAACGAGTTTCTGTACTAGCAGGCTAGTAGCAGCTTCCCTAACACTTAAGCACAAGAAACCTCAAGTTCCGAGTCCGACATTGCATCCAGAGTAATCCAAAACCCCCCCAAACATCCATCTTTCAAGTTCGATTGCTGATTATTCTTCTCCTTTCTAATGTAAACTCAAACGCTGCTAAACAACAATCTGGACTCCCTTATGCACGCCTCGCTTTCTTCCCCGCCACGTCTTCTGCTTCCCCCGGGCCCTCCGCCTTGCGCTTCCGCGCAGCCCGCTCCTCCCCAGCCCTAGCACAAAGCGCCTCGTGCAAGTCCCGATTGAACCCGACGGCGCTGAGGCCAATGGTGTGCACCAGAAGATGCTCGGGCGAGCCAAACTCGCCGTCGCAGGACATCGTCGACACAGCCGGGTCGCGGAACGCCAAACGCCGCGTCGATCAGTGCGTCTCGAGACTGGTAAATAGTGAACCTAGATCAAGCGCGCGAAAAGGACTAACTGACAATGAGGGATGGCACTGGAGCGGCCGTGGGGTAGACAGCGGAGAGGTCATGGACGCGGAAGGTGCCCACGTAAACGAGCGACCCGCCGTGCCGCAAACGCGTGGTGATCACCTCTTTCTCGCAGCCGACCAGCGATTTGAGCTCTGATTCCTGGCGCCATTCGCCAGCGCTGCGATCGTACCTCCCCCGCCAATGCGAACGCGAGGTAGCTGACTTCCGTCGTTGTCTTTCGTTTGAGTCGTAGAGTTGCAGACATCATCCGTTCCGGGAGATAAAGGATATGGTTCAGCCATCTAGAATAGCCTTTTCAATGATAGCAGATGATATGATTGGGGGCATGACTTACCGCGCAGTTGTGGCATCCTACATAGATGACCGTCAACTGGCAATACTAGACTTGCAAAACAAGTGGACTACATACCGAGGCCAGGGACTTCCACGGATCCTCTGTCATGAGACAGATAGTAGGTAGGTCAGAAAGCGGAGGGATGAGCGCCTGCTCCGGGCCCTTGAACTGACGCAGGTAGCGCCGACATTTCGTAAGTCATAACCTGCAGCGACTCATTCAGCAAGTCTGGAACTTGATTTACAGCGCACCTCGGGATCTTTGCCTCTCAATGAGGAGAGTTGCTGTGTGGAAGTGGTTACGCGAACTGAGGAAGGTGCACGATAACTCAGATATCACTACTCACCAGCTTCGCGTCTTGATACTTGGCCTCCATATCGTCAAGCAAATCTCTGAACCGGATTCGCTCCAGCTCAATGGCTTCCCAATCGTCCGTGAGCTGAAGTGGATTCCGTTTTCCGCGTCTGCCAGAGCTCGGGCTCGCATGCTTACCTCGCGAATCTCATCCCTCATCTCCTTGTTGTCCGCGCGCAGTTGTCGGTTAATCGCGAAAACATTGTTCATAGCCTTCATGGCCTCGCTGTGCGCGCTGGTGGCTCGTTCAGCGAGTGTCTGGGCGTCCTGAACAAGGAGTATTAGCCGTCGCTCTTGCGTGAGAATGTGAGAGAGACATATATACCAAGTGCGTATCTGGCAGTGTCCGATCTGAGTCCGAGCTTGATTCCTGCAGGCCAAATCAGCAACGTCATTGCATATAGCAAAGGACTCCCACCGTGGCATCCTCCATGCCCTTTGCTTCCGCGAGCGTTGGAGTAGCAGCAGCTACCGTGACGGACTTTGCCCCCGAGAACAACATCAACAGACCAGTAATGGAAGCGGTAGACTCGGAGACTCACCGTTACCCTCCCCTCATTCATATCCCCCACACCTTTCTTCGGGTTCTCCTCCCGGGATGACGACGACTCGGAGTCAGAATCAGAGCTCGAAGATTCAGAGTCAGACACCTGCAAAACCGTTATATCCCCTCTTCATCGCCTGAGAGCAACCCCTACCGCGCTCGTGTCCTTCCCCACCGCGCGAGTCCCGCTCCAAGACGACGGCGCCATTCGTTGGTGGTGGTGGTGGAGTGAAGAGAAAAAACGCGAGCCCGTGATGTGATGATATGTGACGGTACGTGATTTGATCGGCCCGTCGGCAGCCGTCGGGGTTAATCGGACGTCGAGGTTCTTGGGCTTCTGGTAGGTTATGTGGTGAGCTTTACTGTAGTTATAGCTACATTTGTATTCATACTGCACTCATAGTAATGTTGTGATTGCACCTTCTGCGGCCGAAACAACTATTTGATTCCGACGGCGTGCGAATGCTCATGTCAGCGCTTACATCATCCTCGGCCCTTGCTTCCGACGCCCATCTTGTCTTTCTGTGGGCGCGACTAACGGCTATGTCCCGAGTCAGTGACTCTGCCATCCAGAGTTCGCTCTCAGTGCTGACCGCTGCTCCCGTTCAGGCCCTGCAGCGGCGCGTTCTTGAAACAGAGCCGACGGCTGTGCTTCCAACTCGTCCTACTCAGGGAGTCAGGCTGGCCCTCCCGACTCCCGTTCTTCCGCTGGACTCGTAACAACGCCATCCCCGCGAGCCTTGTCCCCAAGATCCGACGCGTTGGACGGTATAGGCGGTCTACCTCAGGCTTTTGCGTGCGTGGTCTTTCGTTCCCTCGCACAGCCGAACTTACGCCTCCCATACAGATATCTCCTCCACCTCGCCGCATTCCAACAGACTCAGACCTGCCATCGTTACTCCTCCATATCCTTCGAATTCGCTTATCTGCCGCCTGATCTCGCCGCGACGACTGACAGAGCACTTCAAGCGGCCTGAGGAGCCGGTTCTGCGCGGAGTACCCTTCCCAGCCTGGACGAAAGAAGCGAAGGCCGCGCGGCCAAAGCCACTTATTTCGAATGCACAACTTGTCGACACGCGTACGGACAACGGGGCGGAAACACTTTAGACACCCCCGAGTCAGACGGCCGTGGTGCGAGTATGAAGCCGCAGCCGACGCTTATGAAGAAAGCACAGCAAGACGATTCACTTCCACCCTTCATGCTCCTCCCCGGCACCATACTAGTACTCCCAGCCAACAAACGCTTTGCCGTTGAGTTCGCCCAAGTTATAACGCGTCGCTTGGGCCGGCGACCGGCATTTCGATCGGAAACCTGTGACGGAACTGGTATGACTATTATATGGTTTAATGACGGAGCAAATGCGCGCTTGTGCGTTGTCTTCGATGCTTTTTCCATTTCGCACTAACTAGATTTGAAGTAGAAGGGCAATGGAAAAGACGGTACCTAGTAATCTATCCCAATCAATCAACTTGTGTCGCGTTGAACAGTCCCTCCGGCACGATATGGCTCAGCTCAACGACGCGGCGCGGGTCTACGGCTACTCAGCACCCCCTGCACACGCAAAAGGACGACGGAACATACCGCAGTACCCGCGAAATTGCGTGTGGGGGCAGAGCTCCGGGAACCGCGCAACACTGAGATGCATCGACGCGTTCCCGCCCGCGCAGGGGGCAGCGTAGATCAGGCTGACGGCGCCGGCCTATAACCGACATGTCGTTAGCCATTCCAACACAGCCGACACATAATGAGTCAAGACACACCTTCTTGAACGCCGGATCGTACACCGTTGCCTCGAACACGCGCTCAAACTGGACCGTCGGCCGCGCCACACACGATGCACCGCCGGCACCAGCCTCGTAGAGCCACGCGCGGTACCACTCCTCGCCGACATTCACGCCGTTGAGAGTGAAGCTCGCGGGGGGCCGACGCGGGGGCGAACAGGGCGGCAAAGGCGGTGCCAAAGAGCGTCTCGTTCTTGCTGAGGGAGTGGGCGATGAGTGCGGTGACGAGGGACCGGGCCCAGAGCGAGAGCGAGGGGAGGAGGATGGCGGTTGACGACATGATGGGGGTCAAGAAAGCCTGAGTACAGGAAGTTGTGGAGCGAGCTAGGAGGCAGGTTTCACGCGGGAGGCGGTTTGTGGCGGAAGTGAGATCGATGTGAAACATCCAGTTACAGGCTCGAACCTCAAAGCTGATGCTTAGGAATGTGGTAAAATCCACACAAGCGCAATTGGTGTCACTTGCGGCACCCAAGCGGTCTTCGCCGCTGGCGGCGTTGTGTCCACTGTCTATATCAAGGTCTTAGGTCGGGTATCTGACGAATTGAGGGCAAATTACATAGTGGAGCTCCGAGCTCATGGATAAGTGCGCAATGAATGAGGGTAATCACCATTTTTCGATGGCAGATAATTGGTCAAGTCACAATTCACAATGACTGTCTATAGACTGCACTTTGCGTTCTTCTCCTTGCATATTTTGCCCCTCCCGTTATGGTCCATTCAAAAATCCACCATCTCGGAGATCCACCCCTCCCTATCCCTCTCCACAACCGCCAAGCCCAGCGGCACACTCAGCGGATGCGCCTCCCTCATCGCCCGCGCAAACGCGTCCATGTGCAGTCCCGCGCGCGCCTTTGCCTCGTCCTGCAGCGGGGGGAAGAAGCGTAACTTTGGGATGTAGCACGCCCGATTCCGCGTTGCCTCACGGGCGAGGAAGGCGGAGATGAGCGAGTCAAAGACAGCAAATGCAGCAGGCGGCTCGTATTTCATCCTCAACCCTCTCACGCGGACGTCGACGGGCAGGACAAGGGTGGCCAGCGCGGGCACGCTCGGGAGTGAGTTTGCAAGGAATAGTGGGACGAGCCCTGCGTTGTGAGGAGACAGCGCGGGGGCGACACTGACAGCTGGGCCCTGGGCGGTGTAGTCGATGTAGTGGAAGCTAAGCTGGAGGTAGCGCAGCTTCGGGAGGGGCGGGAGCACGATAACGGGGGAGTAAGAGACATTGTCGCTGTGTGCCATGCCTGTAATCCAAGTGCGTGAGTGGTACTACCGAGAAAAACAACTGACACACGCACAGGGAAACTCGATCGCGAGGTATTCCAGGCTCTCGGCGAGCGAGGCGCAGAGCGCGGGGATCGTGAACAGCTCATACATTACGTTTCCACCGGAGTTGCAGAGCACGAGTGCGCGGAGGGACTTTGTGTAGGGCAGGACCGTGAGGGAGAGAAACGGACGGCACAGCTGGTAGATGCTCGTCTTCAGGCGCTCGATTGGTGACTTGTGCCAAGACTCGGGGACAGAAGTGCGTGTGCTGAAGTCGTCTGCGCTCACCCTGAAGAGCGTGACAGTGGGGCAGGCCATGAGCGCACTGTGCATCACCTCCCGTGGGATTACGAGGAAGTCGGACATCCTGAGCTTCCGGAGAGAGGCGGGAGGGCGCGCTAAGAGCTCCGCAACGGCCGTTGTGAACCCCGCGGGAAGATTGGGCCAGACGGTGTCCATCTGAGTGTAGTACAGCCGAATGTCGATAGCCGCAAGCTTCGAAAGGATCGATAGAACAGAGGGCAGTGCGTGAAACACCGACTCGGCGGTGTCCATGTCGTCCCCAACACAAAGCCACAGCTCCAGCTCAGCAACATACGACGCGAGGTGTGGATACGCAGCAAACCGCGTAGCCGCCTGCAAGTAAGAGTACGAGTAGCCGTCATTATGCGGGTTGTTGGTGAGCTCTAATTCGCGCCACAGCCGCCGCTGGCAAGTCGCACGAAAGACCGACCCCGTAACGGCGCAAGCCTTGAGTGTATCCTTGTCAGAGGTGCTGACGTGGCCGACAATCGCGTCTATAAGCTCGGGAGGGAGACGCGGGACCATGGCCAGGGCTTGCTTGCTTGTTGCGGGCGCCGACTGTGCTGGTTCCGAGCTTTGGATCCAGAGAAGAATGCGGGAAAGAGCAAGCCGCCCGAGACGTGACATGTACACGTGCCGATCAATCACCACGTGCGCGTGACGCTTACGTGGCTTTTTTTCTTCCGTCTTCCGTCATTCAGGGACCGGGCTCCGGTCAACGCAAGCCTGAAGCGCTCTTGCGTGCTGGTCCATGCTCAGGCTCTCTTCTTCGCCTGTCAGCACTATAAAGCTCGTCTGTAATACGCGTACGCTGGTCGTCTCTCCAAATGCACTCGTCTAAGCGGCGGCGAGCGCTAACTTGAATGTTCCTCAATTCCTCAACCCAGCTCGGTACCTTCTCCGAGGGGGCCCGGCTCTCTTATGACCGCGCTCCTCTGTGGTCTTGAATGTGTCCTGGACGCTGTTGACCAGAGCGGCGACCGTGACTCGCAGCTTCTGGCCCGGGCTAACAATAACGCGCGTCGCGGATGCTGTTAGAACCGAATGACCATCGTGAGCGGGAAGGTCCAGGATCCCGCTAGCGGCAGCGGTGCGTCCTGTCATACAACGTCTTTTGAGCATCTACTAACGAGTGGTGTTTCGCTTCAATCTGTCTCAGCAGCTTTTGTCGATCATTCACTTTACTTCCGCCCATCGATCCAAAAACTGAATGATTTGAACAGGGCGGGGCGCTCACGCCTCACTGGCACCGCACGGGGCCAACCAACTATCCAAAGCCACACAACGCGCCGGGTACCCCGTAAGTTTGAGTGTTTTACAGGTCACCTCGGAGACTACTGTGTTTTTTTCTGAAATAAATACTCTCTAGAGCTTTCCACTCCTTCTCACGGTCCTCCGCCACCGCCCTCTGCTCACGGCCCAGGCCGAAGGAGGATGGGCGCGCATAGACGCGCATCTTCAACCGGGGGGACGATGAGGGAGGAGAAGAGGTGTGATTCCGTCACCACGGTCCACGTGCCGCCAGCCTACCTCGACGTCGACTTGCATTCCACTGTGCGACTGAAACCACTTGTTTGTGGCTGCTATCCAACCAAGCTACTTGTACCGCGGCAGTATCTCCGCCCGAATCATCTCGTCCAACGTCCCAAACCTCGCACCAAGCTTGACGAGCTCTGGATTCGGCACAGGCGTGTCTGTGTACATGCCCAAATCTGCCTGATATGTATACTAGCAGGCAAATCAGTCGGTATACAACAAGCTCTTAAGCGCGCCATACCATCTCGTCGAGCTCAGCCAGGCCAGACGTGTCGACCGTTGTAAAAATGACCTTTTTGCCCAGAACTAGAGGGATACGGTTATGAAGATTCCCTGCCAACGCCGACGAGCTCCGCACCTTCGCCAATCCTCCGCGCAACCTCAGGGTACGTCTCAACAAATGTGACGACGGGAAACGCCTTCCCAAGTATATCGGCGCCCTTCCTCTCGCTTGCGAAGTTGCGCAAGATGGCGGCGACGGCAGGGCCGATGTCGTGCTTGGCCCACGTGAAGCTCTGCGTTGCAGATGCTGGGTATTTCGGAACCGGGAGCATGAGTTCGTTGGGGTCGTCCGTTTTCTGGAGGGCGAAGCTAGAATGCATGTCGTTTAGCCCGGTAAGCTTCAAGCTGTGTGCGAAATTGCCAGTGACTGACTTCCAGAGATTGTCCGCAAAATAGGCTGTATCGACAGCAACATGCGGCACGTCAGACGCCTTCAGATACTCCCAAACGGCCGCTTTGTCTGCTCCCCCGTCAGGACGAGCTCCGCCAAAGAGATGGACGCACGATCGATATGATAAATGTTGGGGTACTTGCCACTGGAGAGCTTCTTGGAGCTCGGCAAGCCGCTAGTGGGACATCAGCGCGTACTTGGTCCACACAGCGGGCGTCGGCTGACCTCCATATAAACAGCTTCACTCCCTCCGCCCTGGCGGCGTCGACCAAATTCCTGCCTTGTTCCAGCTCTCCGATGCCATTCGGCGTGCCCGGGAAGACGGATGGATCCCAGAAGTTCGTAACCTACGAACGACAAGCCATTCAGCAACGCACCATCCAAGCGTAAGTTGACTCGGACTCGCCCCAAAGACCACATCGCTGCCCTTGACCGCCGCCCTAATCGACGCGACATCGAAGAGATCGCCCCGAACGACCTGCACGCCCGCTGCCACAAGCTTCTTGGCGGCATCTGAGTCAACGTTACGCGTTACTGCCCGTGGGGCAAAGGTCCCGTCCTCCACTACTGCTTTGATCACCGACGAGCCTGTGACAAGTGCGTTAGCCTTGCGGCGTCCCGATCGGAGAAAGACCGAACCTTGCAGCCCCCGTGGCTCCGAAAATGGTTATAACGGGCCCGGGCCCGGGTCGAGTCGTTGTCATCCTGAGGGAATCGTAAGACGATAATCTGCCAGAGGGTGTCGCGAACAGCCTTTTAAGCTGAATCTATGCGGACTCTGACATGCGTGAGATGACCGGGAGGGAAACAGACAATTCAAATGAAGCACTCATCCAATTGGTTGGCTGCAGTACTCTGGGCCCGTCACGGTAGCCACCATGGATCCGGCCCGGGGGACGTGCTCCAACCAGGCTCATCGTGAGTCCGAGCTCGGAGCTCTGGTCAAAGTTGAAGCAGTACATGGAGGCTCGTGGTGACATCAGTGTAAGGTCGTGAATGATGAAGTGCAGATGATCAGCAACTGTCAAAATGCCGGTGCCTGGTTGCGCCACGAAGAGAGGTGCTGCTGTATTGCCCGACCGCGTTCGCTACAGTCGCACAAGTTACGAGACCAAAGTTCATAGTTAACACGCTACTTACGACCCCAAAGTTGAAAGTTTGACCATAGCCTGCAGTTACAAGTCAGCGAAGAAGGTATCCAAGTGAACAACAGCTAACATTCTGCAGCGGCTTGCACGTCGTCGTGTCCTTGACGCCGACATCCACAATAAGCTCGACGCCACTGACAAAACATTGAGCGATGAGCAAAGTATCACAGCGTTAAAATGTACGGGGAGTTGTTGACGTTGAGTGCAGAACGGACACTGGCAGGCTGTGAGTTATCAGACGGAAGGGCTCATTCGAAGCTTTACCAACAAGATTAGCAACACAGCTCGAGGCCATTGAGCTTTCTGGTGCCCACACGCACGTCAGCTGGTAGACATGTCAGCAGGCGACTTTACGCCTGCCAAGCAGGAAGGCGATGAGTAATACGTTGAGCATTTTTGGATAGAAGGTGCGCTTCGCAAGTGTAAGGCCCCGGATCGCGTGCGCGCGATCCGAGATAAGATATGATTGCTCATGCCGCTGGAGTTGCGCTTGGGGCGCGCCATCACTCCACAGTGAACTCATTCTTTTCATCATACTCTCCACTATGACATCAGTCTTGTAAATACTTATATAGGTGGAGCTGTTTTCTGTATTAGTTAGTCTTTTCCGAGGTCAAATCTACAGCTTACGCCAGTTCTATCACGTCCCTGACCTCGCCGGCCTTCCGCCCTCGGTCTCCCGTGTGCCGGGACCCGCTTTGGTAAGCGCCCCGTCACATATTTTGAACTGCTCGCTACTGGTTTACAGTCTGTACTGACTCCGAGGGTCTGATCAACCCTTCCTGTCGTCTTGCTGTTGCCCTGACCAACCTCCGACGTCTCATGGCTACCCATCGAACCCGTCTTGCTGTGGCTACCGGTCGCGCTCCTGCCCCGACGCCCCCTGCTCGTTTGACGTCACGCCTGTCGTCATCCCGCTCCACAAGTGGAGCCGACCATCACTTGGTGAGTGATATGGGTCGCGGTGTCCCGGCAATGCCGAATTCTCGCCCCGCCTCACGGCGTGCCGCCTCCGGGCGTGTTCCTGGCTTTGCCAGTCCTCGGCTTGCCGAGTCTCAGCTTGCTGAGTTCCCTGCGCTTTCGGGCGATGTCGATTGGGGTCGCCGGACGCCAGTCGCGGATCTTGATCCGGTTGACGATGATAGTGCTGGTATGACAACGCGCTTGTCGAGCGCGCGTCGAAGCCCAGTCATTCATCCTACAAGTGTAGCACATTCGTCAATACATCAGTTTGAATCTGAGTCAACAACTCACCTTGCCATGGATGGCATGAGTGTTGAGGAGCTCAGCCTGTTGGCGCGCCGACACCAGCTGCTGGCTGATGAGGCTCGCTTTGCTGCGAGTCGCAAGTCTGTGAGTGCCGCCCCGCGATTTTCAAGGTCGCCGTCGCCATTGATTGAGTTTGACGAGCGGTCTCGCCAATCTTTTGATGATGGGTATGTGTCCCCATCCGAACATCAGAGTCTCCGGTCATCGACGCACCTTGGCCATATCAGCCCAAGGCCTGTTCACCCACCTTCGGCTGGACCTTCCCGCAACAAGGGGAAGGGCCCCGACCCTAGGAATTGGGGAGCAGTAGAGTTTTCGGAAGAGTTTTCTGAAAACGAATTAGCCGCGCAGCGTGATGCATTCGAAAACTTTGCAGAGTTGCATCACCGTGAGCCGCGCGTGAAGATCGAACGTCGAACGACGCCGCCGAGTTTTTTCGCGAAATTCTCGCCGTCGAGGCCATCCTCTCCGGGTATTAGAGCCCCGGATGAGACGTTGCCTGTCTCCGAACACCCGTCGCGGATGGGTTCCGTTGTCGAAGGCTCTCGTTTGAGCGCTGAGGCAAGGATCGCTGATCTGGAGCGCCAGATCAGTGAGTTGAGGCTTGCGAACGAGGAACATGTACCAGCAGTGAAGCCACCCGCTAGTCGTGCGGAACGCAATGCGCGCGAGCGCATTTTGCGGGACGTACCCGCCGAACCACGCGTGATGGGGCTCTTGCTTGCGCACAACGGTGCCAGCAAGACCATCCCGTGGCCCTCGATTCGCAGCTGGGAGCACTATCGAGCGCGCTATTAACGCCGCGACAGCGGCGCCTGGGAACCCGTCCTCGCCAGACCCATCTGACGATCCTTCGAGTTCCGGCTCTGAGCGGGAGCCCAACACACCGGATGCTGATGGAGTCCCAAGGCCAGGACGGCGCCTGCCTGCCGTCGCTCCGGGCCGCGCCGAATCTTCGCGTCTAGGCTCACGCCGACGTGACGTCGCACTGCCCATGCTGCTGAAGCCAGTGAAACCGACACCCTACGACGGTTCGCCCGACCCCGCGAAGTACAAGAAGTTTGTTCGCGAGGGCACGGCGTATGTCAATACGGGTCGTGTGCCCGCAGAGCAGCAGATATTCTACTTGTCCCACTTTCTTGAGGGCAAAGCTGCGAAATTCTACGATCAGAAGGTCGTTTTGCATGAGGAAAATTACTCACTTCGTGATTTCTTCTGGGGAATGTTCGAGTTTTGTTTTCCTATGAACTTCCGCATCCAAATGCGCGACAAGTTGAATAGAATGGTCCAGAAGGACGCACCTGTTGTCGAATACACTGCTGAATTCGAAACAACCTGGAATATCATCGGGTTAGCGGACGATCAAGAAAAAGTGGTCAAATATTGGCGCACCTTGAACGCGGACATCCAGCGTGAGATGTACCGCCAGAAGCTCGACCCCGAGACCGCCTCCTGGGACGACGTTGTCCAAGCGGCTGAAGACGCCGAAATTCTGCTCAATATTGAGCCAGAATCGCCCGCGTCTGATGCCCTGGGCAACGACAAGGCGAAGCCTGACGAGAAATCGTCAGACGCCACCCAGAGGGACGGTGAGAACGCTCACCGCAACCGTAGGCGAGGCCACGGAGGGCGGGTCGAGTCCGACAAGCCGCAGGCTGACTCGCGGAACGAGCAGCTTCGCGCCGCGTCTGTCGAGCTGCCGACCAAGCCAGATGCGCTGAAGGAGCGCCGTATGTCTGCCAAACGTCGGAACGAGCTCCTCGCGACGGGAGCTTGCTTTACCTGTGGAGAAATCGGGCATCTGGCCCGAGACTGCCCCACAACGTCCACCATGAAGTCCACCGTTAAAGGCAAGCCGCCAGGCTTTGGCGCTCACGGTGTGGACTTCTCGGAGCGCCAGTCTGCGCTGTATGATAGCACAGAGGTGCTCGAAACACTCCCGGTTGGCGCCGTTGGGTTGTCGTGGGCTGACGAAGTCGAATCCGAACTGTTTAGCGACGGTGTCGTTGTCCAGGAGGGCGAGGGGGAGTCCACTGAGAGTTCTGGCGAAGAATTTTCAGCCGGATCCTCGGAGCTTTTGAACAACGCACCTCGTAATGCTGCTTCTGAGCAGCACATTGGCGATCTCTTCCTCCTCAACGCGGGGCTGTCGTTGCAAAATGCCCAGCCTTACCCGGGAGATGAAGGAGAAGTCCAGAAGACGAGCCGATTTGCGATTGCTCGGCTCTCGGAGTTGCAGCTTGTCGTGCGCGATGAGATGCATGGCGTGGAGGTGTTGCTTGAGTCCCGGCAGCTGGCCGACTCTCGCTTCCGCATCGCCGCGTGGTACGCTCGCCACAGAGCCGCTTCGTTGGGTTTTGGCACAAAGAACTTGCGCCGTCGTACGCGTTTCTTCGAGTCGCTCGACGACGCGCTTGCTCGGACGGTGCAGACAGTCCTAGAAGACCATTTTGGACTCCATTCGGAGGGCGAACCTGTCCTGAGTCGATTCGCGGTCCATCCGGGCGTGAACTCACTCACCGTAGTAGACTCCGTTGCGGACGTCGTGGTGGTTCTGGACAAGAAGCGATTACGCGATGACGCGTTTGATCTCATCACGTGGTATGAGTCAACGATCGTCAACGCATCGTCTGGCAAATACTCAATGCTGGCTGATACTGAAATGTACAACTTGGATATCTTTTCAAGCAAAGATATGGAGGGCGTATGTAAGGCCCCGGATCGCGTGCGCGCGATCCGAGATAAGATATGATTGCTCATGCCGCTGGAGTTGCGCTTGGGCGCGCCATCACTCCACAGTGAACTCATTCTTTCATCATACTCTCCACTATGACATCAGTCTTGTAAATACTTATATAGGTGGAGCTGTTTTCTGTATTAGTTAGTCTTTTCCGAGGTCAAATCTACAGCTTACGCCAGTTCTATCACGTCCCTGACCTCGCCGGCCTTCCGCCCTCGGTCTCCCGTGTGCCGGGACCCGCTTTGGTAAGCGCCCCGTCACAGCAAGCCCACGGGCCGCGCGCCGCTCCGCATTGAATTTTGCAGCCGCGGCTGAGCAGTCGTGGGGAATCCCCACGAGTAGGAGCTGATGGCAGCGCTGCAAAAAAGCTGTAAGTTTCCGCAAAGTTTCCGAGTGGGCAGGCTGCCAGTGGATGGCGGCAGACGCGCGATTGGGTCCGATGCCAGGTCGGCACACGTCGGCCGACTGCGAGTGGAGTTGGGCGGATGCGCGCCGAGACAGAGGTGGAGTCGTCTTCCGTCGCTCGGCGAAATAGGGTGTTGTTGCTGGAAGCGCTGGTGGTAAACCACATGCAACGTTCGGAAGGTCTGGCCGGGAAGTAAGCGCGAGCCCACTCTTCGTTTGCCAGCGCACACACCGGGTGTAGATGGTGGACGGTGGCACTGGCAGTAGAGACGTGTATTCGCGAAAAAAGTCCAAGTTCGTTTCGTAAGGTCGGAGAGCCAGGAGGTCGTTACTAGTACCCCGCAGAAAACGAGTAGCACGGGATGTTTTTGTTCTGTCCAGAGCAAAAGGCGGCAAGAGGGGGCTCGATTATCTGAGGCCCAGAGATGTGGAGGGCACGAGCAACACGGTCGGTGGTCAGTGGTCACAGACTTTTCTTCAAGTTCTTTCTCGCCTCCCATGATGAGCTACCCCCAACTCTATCTTCACCCTCATGACACCCGTTCCCGTTCGCCGCCGCTCCGCCCGGTCTAGCGAAGCTCATGGCGGGTCTGCAAAGATTGGAGGGGAAGAAGAAGAAGGATTGGACTGGGCACGCGAAATCTTTTCGCGCTGGTTGCGAGGCATCCCGCTTGCCGCCCACAAACTCGCCACCGGGGCTGCCACCGAACTGGACGCCGCAGAGATATTGGCGCCATTACTGGGTAAAGAGATGCTGTGTGAGTGTTCCTCGCCACCTTCGTCCGGGCGCTCACTCGAAAACTACTAGATGTGCTGGCGAACCTGCAACGCCTCGCTACTCAGATTCGGAAATGCGGCCTCAGCGGCTTGGACGGGAGCGAGCAGCAAGACTTCCTTCGTTGGCTACACCAAACCCGCGACTAGCGTCGTTGCAACAGGCTCTCCAATCTCCCCCCACCCAGACGATACACCAGGCCCGACGACGAATTCGAACTCAAGAGAGTGGCGGGCAGAGCGGGACTGTGTGTGGAGAGGGAGGGAGCCAGTGGGTAGTGTGTCGGGGGAGTCATTGTGCATGATTATGCCGCGAGCGGGCGACAACGCGGCTTTCATTTGAAAAACGGCTGGATATGGCGGTGTGTCTTCTACTTGTTCCTTTTTCCAGCTAAGTCCAACTGTGCAGGACCCATACCTCGTCCCCTCATCCTTGCTCTCATCCCACTCCTCCACGACATTCTTCTCGCAAGACCCGGTCGAGTCAGAATCCACCTCAATGCGGAGTACCGAGGCTATCTTTTGCTGAGCTGGGAGACGTTATTGGGTTGGATAAGAATGCGGCCTCAGCAGCTTAGACCAGCACGAGCAGCCAGACTTCCCTCCTTTTCCACACCGGACCCGCGACAAGCCTCGTCGCTGCGGGCACTCGAATCTCCACTGCTACACAAAGCCCGACGACCACGACGAACTGAGGAGAGTGGCGGGCAAAGCGGGGCTGTATGTGGAGAGGGAGGAGGCTGGCGAGCGACCACGCGCCGTCCATTCGAAAGCGGCTGGATCCAACGGTATGTCCTTTACTTTTACTGTTTTCGAGCTAACGCTAACTGGCCAGGACCCATACCCCCTCCCCTCATCCTCGCTCTCAGTCCTTTTCCATCTCTGCGCCACGACATTCTTCTCGCAAGACGCAGTCGAGTGGGTTCTACCCTCGAGGCGGAATACCACGGCTAGTGCCGGGTTGGCATGAGCAAGCTGGCGGCACGGCATTCTTGGCGGAGAGAGTGACCTTGGACGGGGAAACGAGGTGTGCAAACGCCCCATTCTTCAGCTTTTACTGCAGGACTGATCTCGTAGATATAGGCCGGCGTCAGATCGTTCCAGTATTCAATCCCAAACGACGGCCGACAACCCATTTCTCTCCTGTTACCTCTACAAACGCCGCTACTACTCGTCCGCCGCCGGCCTATCCTT